TTCAAAATAAAGTTTTGAAAATAAATTCTATACTGTGTATTCTTTTCCTTATTCCATATTTTTAATTTTATTTCATTTTGTAAAATATGTTTCAATAAACATGTAAATTAATTTCTAATTCATATAAATAGAAGATGCATGAAATCATTTTACAGGTAATCCTCAGGCCGAACGTGCCCCACCCCATGACGGACCATACCTCTCTATATGACGGCCCCTACCCCGTTCTCAAACGGTTTCTATTTTTATTAATGACATGCACATTTAATTTTAATATAATCATGGAGGGTTTGAATTATATTTTTTAGGTATTTGTCTTTATTATTGAATTTTTTTGATCATTAAATTAAAAAAATTTCGGTACAATAATTTAATTAGCTTAGGGAGCCAGTAGTGCCCCACTCTCCCCTATTGAGTAAACAAGTTCTCGGTGGCTCCATTGGTTTGATAGCTGATAATAGATGCTTTTGTAAAGACTGTTGATCGAATAAATTTTATTTAATTAGTACTTAACATAATAAATCGTTCTTAAGGATATTACTTTATTTGATATAGTATACTTAACAATTAATCCACAATTTAATGGCAACATTATGGTTGAAGTCATTAAAACTTTTTTTATGTGACATACTTTTTTTACATTTATTAATAACTTTTTTCTTTGCCTTTTTTCTTTTAACTTTAATTATTTCTGGAGTTAATTGGACAGGTGGCTGTGGAATAATAAATATGCTCACAATTTCTGGTGAAAAGGACAAATCGGTAATTTGTGGTGCCTGTGCTAACTAGGGTACTGTTGTGCTAAAGTTGAGCAGTACTCTTTGCAGTGGAATATGACCAATTACTGTTTTGAAAGAGTAAAAACTCTTTGTGTATAAATAAGTTGGGGAGGTTGGTGATTCTCAAACTACTTTAATGTCACTGACTCAGAAATATGATACTTTATAATCTGCTGAGCGAAAAGTAAAATATAACGTTACAAAGAATACAAAAAAAAACTAAAAAGAAGCGCTTCAAAAGAAAATAAAGAAAATAATAAAAAGTAATTTAACTCACCTTCAAATATACAATTTCTTGAATTGACCACGGTAGTTGTGGTTCCTGCCAGCTATAAAACAACTGACAAATTAAGTAGAGCTGCTTGATTTGTAACGCGTTCTGCTGTTGCTGCTGCTCAAAGAGCTTCAAATTTTTCCAAGTATGAATAAGTTCGTGAGATCGCTGATTCTCGAAATTCTTTGATGTCACCGATTCAGAAATATTAATCTTCATAAGCTGTTGAACAAAAAGTAAGAAATAATGGCAAAGAAAAAAATAATAAAGGAAAAAACGCTTCATGAAAACTAGAAAAAATAGTAAGAAGTAATTAAACTCATCTTTCAACGATAAAATTCTTCAATTTACCACGTTAGTTGCGGTTTCTACTGGCAATAATATAACTGACAGATCAAGAGGAGCTATTGGCCCCGCAACGCGTTTTGCTCTAAGAGCGCCCAAACTCTTCATGTATGGAGAGATTGGTGATTCTTCAACTTCAATGAATTTTAGTAATATGAACTTTAATACTAATCAAAATGAATGAGTAAGAATAAAAAACGAATAAAGAAAAAAAAAAGGAAAAAATTATAAAGGAAATCAAAACAACAAACCAGGGGGTATTAATGGGTCAT